GTGGTAGTGACTGAAATGTGGCTGTCAAACGGCATACTTGATCCAGAGATTGAAATCAGTGAGATGTCAGTCATTCGAAATGATCGTCCATCTCGTGGTGACAGTGTTGCTATTTACTGTCGAGATTACCTTAAGTGTGAGGCTGTTACCGAACATTCCGTTATTAGTACTGACGCACTATTTTGCCAACTGCAGCTAGCAGGTCGAAATGGTGGAGCACAAAAGAAGGTGCGGGATTCTTGCCTTCTAGCAGTTTTCTACAGGCCAACGAACTCGTCCGCAGAGAGCGATGACATTCTTTAAACACACACCAATATGCAATTTCAAAAAATTTTTAATTACCTTATAATGCGCGATCTCAACGTGCTTTCAATTGTCGCAATGTTACTTAATGGGTCATCGTCTAAATCAGAACACTTTAAATTCATAGACATGACAGTTTTGTATAAGCAGGTGCATCGACAAACCAGACACAGCGGGTAAAACAAGCCATCATTACTGGACCTAATCCTGACAAATAAAGAGTTGATGGTTGAGTCATTCGCCCACGACCCTCCTCTAGGCAGTAGCGACCATGCAGTCCTAACCTTTGCTTATGTGTATTATGCTAGTATGTTTGATAACGAACCCGAAACTCAACAAAATTACTGACTATTCCAAGCTTCACAACAGCGACAATTGTTGACTGGGGCCTACAGATTCACAGTTCGGCGAACGATGCATGGAATGAATTGAAAGGTAAACTTAACTGTGTCATACGAGCAACCTCATGCGTTGTACATTTGGGATGTCGCACCGGACCAATAGTTGAATTCGAAGCAGAACACTTAAATGGAACAACAGAAAAGATGAGAATTGGAAACGAATCACGTTAAGCCCACGTGGTACCACATGGAAGTATCATGAAACCATCAGGAAATACTGCACTTCACTTATTACGGCAGACAAGTACCAATCACAGGAGACCATGGTACTCAAGTTTGCGAGTAACAATAAACTGCTATACAGGTATGCAAACGATAAAAGAAAGATTAAATTTGGTATACCACCACTCAAGACGGCCAGTGGCTTAACGATTACTGCTGTGGATACCGCGAACGCTCGATTTCTGCAGTTTGGCTCGGTGGCTACAAATAACATGGAACTTTTGTTCTATCAACTTCAAACAAATGTTGGCGGCCTATCCGGTGTTTCATCTACCCTAGAGGCTGTCGTGAACAAAGTATAGTCTCTCCGGAAAAACAGTGATTCGGGAATCGACAAGATCTGCCCAAAGGTACTTAAAACTCATACCATCAACATAGCAGTTTATCTTGCAGGCTTTTCCAGGGGTTTGTTTTATTCCCGTACGCTCCCCGATGAGTGGAAACGTGAAATCTTCACTCCGATACACAAAGTAGGTAAGGGAGCGGATCCTGCCAACTACCGACCTATTATTCTCCAACCTATTTTATCAGAAGTGATGGAATCGGTAATCGCAGATGAACTGACGTAATATTTTAAGCCTGCAGATAATAGCCAATGTCCAACATGATTTCAAACGCAGACGTTCTTACCTCACCATTCTGCTCCTTGCCAGGAATTCATGGACCAGAGCATCAGATAAAGGAGTCTCCACAGCTATGGTTTACTTAGATTATTATAAGGCATTCAACAGAGTCAATCACTTCGTCCTCCTCCAAAAACTTGCTGCCCATGGTATCGACGGTTCCCTGCTCACCTGGTTAGAAGATTACCTATAAGACAGAACCATCAATGCAAGAATAGCCAGCACTCATTCCGAAAGCCTGTGCGTATCCTGGGGTGTACTACAAGGATTCTTCCTCGGCCCGGTACTGTTTTAGGTTTACATAAATGACCTCCTAGAAAATGTTGTATCCCTGGTGCAGATATTGGCAGATAATGTTACAATATGGAGAGAAATTCGCTTAGCATCTGACTATGCCTATTTCCAGAACGATCTGGACCAGATAAACGAATGGTCAGAAAGGAACCGGCTCCCATTGAACTCTGCAAAATGTCACCTGCTGACGGTGCGTAGCAGCTTCAGCAACACATTTCTTCTGGAGTAGCATGTTTTGCAACAGGTGACTAGTGAAGGAGACTCAGGTATCATTGTACAACAAAGTCTTGGCAATTCGCTCCAGTGCTCGAAATTAGCGAATGTGGTGAACTTGAACTTAGGGCTTTTGAGACGAGCTCTGGGCACCTTTGAGCGACGGATATTACCACAGTTTATCAACACATATCTTCGTCCCCATGTTGAATAAGTGGTTCAGGTCTGGCGCCCATCTTTACAACAAGATATTCGTCTCTTGCAGTAACCCCAAAGAAGTGTCACCGAAGCAATACGTGGACTATCCCGTCTCAGTTACGAACTGTATCTTCATTTACTCGGTATGTTCGCCGAATACCGATGGCTTTGTGGGGATCTCGTCCTCACATACCGGATACTAACCAAAAGCCAGAACCCATGCACATCACTGCTGACCCTAGCCTCTTACAAACAATGTCGAGGCCACCTGCAGCAACTAGTGACGCAACACTCCCGGTTGTAGTGTAGGAAGATTTGTTATTCGCTTAGAATGTTTCCACTGAAAGATACTACCAACACATTTGATGAACACAGCAGACATTGCGAGATTCGAGGGACTTCTGTGCTTTCACCTTAGTGCTAAACCCTACACAACAGTGGGATAAGGTGCGATGCCTTTACTACTGATGATTTTTGTTTCACGTTGGAACACAATGATTTTGATTTTTGTGTAGTTTCTATCCCGTATGTCTTATAAAGTTGTGCTTTTTATCCAAGCATACAATTTTAAACTATTGTACTTAACTCTATCCCAACACCATCCAATGCTGCTGCAGCTTCTGCCTCAGTGGATAGATGCAGGAGGTATGTGGCTCAGCGATCACAAGGGTATGTTAGCCTGAGTAAATTGCTGGGATTCTGCAACTGGTTTTCGTAAACTCAGCTAAGTCAATGGCGGGAAAATCCAAGGTATGCGCCAGCCTAACCGTTCACCAATTTGCATAATCGTTCGTAAGTTGAAGCATGTTAGTCGGAACATGGATCGTGGTGGAAGTAAGGTTGTCGATCGCGCTTTTCATGAGACTATGGTACCGGGATAGGAAGTAGCATAAACGGAACAAAAGCTGAAAACAAATGTAGAAGGAGGTTTTGATGGAAATTGGCGAACATCAGCAGCGGTGGTAGCGGAAGTGTGACAAGAAGATAAATCCATAGCTGACTTGACGAACTACCTCCTCATGGTGCGAAATGTGTGATTCTTTTTACTACGTTCCAGCGAATAGTTCGGTGGCAGTGTTCCAGGACGTAGCGGGTTTTCGCCAGGCAAGTTCTCCCTATGAACAGCCATACATGTCCGTTTAAGAACCCTGTGACATAAGGGATATGACTCGTCACTAAATAAAGTCATCGTTCATTGCTTCGCTTTAGCGAATCATTGTAATTCCAAAACTGGTTGGACTGGGCCCCAGGTTGGTAGATCGACAAAGGAAAAGTGTGTGGAATGAGTAATCCGTTACGGGCTCCCAGTGGACACGATTTCTTGACTTCGCTCCGCTGTCTTGCAGATGGACCATTGAGCCGAAGAATCGGGGCACAGTCCCCAAGTCAACTCTCTACCTCGGCCTGGGCAACCGGGTAGCATCACTCTCACTGAGAAAACCCATGGATGAAAACCGATCCCAGAACCCACTTCTCGAGCACTTCAGCCGAGGAGATGGACTGACAGACGCAGAAAACCCAACAGAAGACTGCAAGTTAATCCAAGGCTTTTATCATATACCGCAGATGCAGTCTCAGGAGGGAAGATGGCCCGGCGAAGATAAGCACTTCCCAGAAACGCTATTATTTCAGCGATTAAGCAGTTTTCACTAATTGTCACATCTATTGCGGCTTTCTGGAACGTTCAAAGGCTTGCCCATGACTGTCAACCTCTCGAAGATTGGGTATATCGGTATGAAACTACCAATTTCGACAGCTGACCTCTCTATTCCAGAAGTCGGAGATCAGTAACCACCTATAAATACAAGCAAGATCTGCCGCAGTTATTTCGTTTTTCGGTAGCGGTTAACGCGTTATCTCGTCAAACTCATTTGCGTTCTGGTTTTTTCTTCGGCTGGGCTAAACGTACTGTGGAGCAGTAAAATGTATATTTCTGAAATCGCGACAAGCGGGAAGATTAAAACACACCCCGAGGATGCATGGTGAGGGGTGAGTAAGTGTTGTTGTTCTGTGTTCCTCATACACCAGATTACAGGGAACTCTGAGACAGGGAATAGGAAGAAGGTCAGTTGCCTTGACACTACGACTTCATAATGATGTACCGGCTCCTAACATTGACCATCCAGTGGCCAGTGGACAAGACGTCTAAGTTGTAATATGCAGATCGCCGATTCGACCTTACATAGGTGCGGACGGCCTCAGGGTGGTATCCCTATGCCACAAGAGAAGGGCAGCAGTCGTGTGGCAGCGAAGCGTCCGTAACATATGTGCTGGTGCGCTACAAAACTGCGTTTGCTATATCTTTATCTTCCAGTGTTCCATCCAACATTGTAGCCAACTGTAAGCCTTAGTTACACCGATAACTTTTAGAGCTAGAAAAGTAAGGTCGCTGACCAATTCATTTGCAGCCGCTTTCATGCTGCTGGTGTTCGTAAACGATTTGCCGACAAACAGCCTAATTGATACTACATGCACATATAATCGGCTGTGGGAGCGGAAGATACAGATACTGACTGTTATCATTACTCTTAATAAAACCCGTATGGATACATTAATATTAATCTAAAACTAAAATTTTGGCGGATAAATGGACACGGCTTGTTTCTGACACTCTTACTGTTGACTTTACAACTGTTTATCCTATGAGACTTGTGGTACCAAATTTAGTTACTTGGAAATAGCCAGTCTCGTCGAGACTATCAAACCGAAATAATAACATGACAGCCGGAAGATGGTTATGACTTACCGGCAGATTCAGTAGGGGATGGTCTTTGTGGTTGTATAGATGGCAGACTTCGTATATGTAGATCAGGCTCATTTGTTCAATCGATGTAAACGGGCTACATGAGCCTGCAACCACGGGAACTGGATAACAGCCTGCATTTTCATACAGGTCGATATCTTTAAAGAGGAATTTCAATAACTCCCGATTATAGCTCGTTGGCTGATACAGAGCGACAAAGAAGTGCCAAGAGCAGCGCGGTTCCGTTGCTTCGTCGCACGTTTTAAGCATACCGTTGTAGTCAATATTGACCAAGCGCACGTTGTGCGGTTGCATGAACAAATCTGAAAACAGAATCACATCACTAAGTCTATACGGTCAGAAGTTTGCTTTAAACATAAGGTCAAAAGTTAGAGGAGAATATTTTCGTAGACTGCCTAGCAATGGAAATAAAATATAGAGGCTGTCAAGGTTGAGGCGTTAGAGCGTGGCACGCCACGAACTAAACAGAAAGGTTACATATTGGAAATACTACATGTCAGGTAAATGCACCTCCTTTGAATGCGTAACAAGTTAACTACAAGAGCGGAAGTGAAGGAGCCACCTAGATATATTCCAACGACTTGTGCTGGTGTTACTTTAGAAATACATTGTGCTTACTTCAGTACTAATCGTTATTATGGGTAAATACTATTATTCAAAAGTGATTTAGGCAACGCTCCTGAAATTTGTGTCCTCCTTTGCGTTCTAATCCCTAATCTTGTATGACCGCATTCAACTGCTTTGCTATCTTTTATATTGCATACACCGGTGGAACCACAGTGCTTTTATGAACGATATACACTCTGCATCCATTCACATTGTTGCATCCATCAGCATTATGGCTTTACCTGGACCTTATGCACAAGGATCTATGTGGCTGCTGATCAAAACCAGATGTTGGCATAGTTTTTGGGTTGCCGCTTTTCTTTGCTACCAAAAATGGTTTTTCTTAGAGGAATTATTTTTGTTGCACTTCGGAAAGCATACTTCAACGCCATGTTGAAGTATTTAAAATGCTTTGGAAAACTGGTAGCTCGGGTTGATAATTCAGTTGCCCATTTGTTCGCCGAGCTGCGAAATTTGTTTGCAGACGTTTCACCGCCATTCGAGGCGGCATCATCAGTGCATCGAGGTGTGGAGTGTAATCTCGCTGATTGAATTGTCGATCTGTCATCGGCGTGCAGGTGACATTTCGAAAGTGTCGGCTTCGATGTTTGTTCCGTGATCTCTACCCATTTCCCCGTGGCGGAGGTCGTCGCTTGGGTTGTTCCTATTCAACCGGCGTCTCATAATTTCTCTAAGTTCTCTCCGTCGGAGGGGTTGGTAAACTGGGTCAAGCTCGATATGCATGTTGATCGAGTCTCTTGTTGAGTACTACGCTCCTAGAAATTCCCTTGCTCTTCTTGTTTCACCTCGTGCCAGGACTTCTGTTTTGACCCAATCAAAGCTGTGTTCTCTTCCATTCACGTGTGCTGAGACTAGTGAAGATGAATAGTGTCTTTTGCATGCTCTTTTGTGCTCTTGTAATCATGTTAATAATCTTCCGCCTGTTGGGCCAACATAGTCCTTTTCACAATTTCTACAACTTAGTCCATATACAACATTACTTTGCTCTCTCTCTTTCGGTTGCGACAGAGTCTTTCTCAATGTAGTAGTTGGTTTGTGTGCTACGATGAGGTGATGTTGTTTGAATAGTCTTGCTGCCATTTCGGATATATTCTTCATATGAGGTAAAACAACGCGTCTCTCCGTCGTTGGTGTAGACTGTCTGTTTAGTTTGTTGTAGTTCAGACACCTTCGGATGAAGCTTCGTGGATATCCGTTGATTTGGAAACATTTAAATGGATACGTCTCTTCTTGTTGCTTTGCCTCCGCGGTACTGCACCGTGTTTACACTCTACCAGATAGTGTCCGCACACAGCTTACTTTGTGGCATTTCGGATGGTTACTGTTAAAATTCAGAATTTGGTCCGTATGTGTCCATTTTCTGTAAACTGACGTTTGCAGCCTCCCTTCCTTGGTTCTGTTTACTAATACATCCAGGAAAGGCAGTTGGTTTTCCTTCTCCATTTCCATGGTAAACCGCATGTCTTAAATGGCGTTGTTCAACAGCTGCTGTGCGACTGTAACTTGATCGCGTTTGATAATCACAAGTGTCGTCAACATATCGGACCCACAGTTTCGGATTAATGAGTGGGAGTACATCTTCCTCCAATTTCTGCATTACCATCTCCGCGACGAGTCCCGATAGAGGTGATCCCATTGACGCGCCTTCCAATTGCTCGTAGGTCTTCCCGTTTGTACGTATAATGTGTACGTGTTGACGTACGCACGATTATCCGCATACACTGGTGTTCAGATTCAGTGGCCACGTTTCCCATCGGAAGGATACATGGGTTCTATGCGCATTTCTAGACCTAAAATTACCCCGTTTTCCAATTTCAGCAGGCAGAGCTGCTACTAAACTTGACTAAGCTTAGTTCGCCAACTTGAACCTACCGATGATCTCATCATCAATATGAAAACAATCTAGCGAGCTACAATGTACTTTATATGCTTTCTACTTACACCGGCACGCCACACTGTACAGAGCCATGCGTGATTCCAGTATTATTCAGTGCTTATACATCTCTGGGCGACGCTGGGCTTGTGGGTATCACAATTGTTGAAAACGAGGCGTAGCGTTAATAGGCAAGGTAGAAAGAGTCGTCCTACCACTTTATGACTCACTACTGAACCACTAACTGTCGTGCGCCTGGCATGCAGAATTCCGTCGATATAACTTGAGTGACTAGTTACTTCCTGCTCATCACGAGGTGTACATTCACCAAACATATTATGACCCCATATTGCTAGCTGCATCTCGATTACTGGAACGTGTAGACACAGGGAGCACCTGCTCAAAGATAGCATGTACTGTGCTCATTTGACTGGGAACGAAACAATCGGTATACATCTTATAGATGAATGTACTACAAGCCAGTACATGCCACTGCCAGCTGGCCAGAACCATACGTAGGGCCCCAACAACCATTCAGCACCACTAGGGCTGTCGAATCCAGGACCCTAGGCCGCTGCCTTTCATGAGCGCTAACTAATGCTACTCGGATCTGCGTTGTTTCATGTCACAGTAAATAGTTTACGGTGACGGTGCACAAACCCACTATAGTGATGCTGGTGACTCTTTCCCAACCTTATGCGTAACATTACAAACTGACAGGTTACCATGACTGCAGGTCAAGCGTTCGATGTGTAAGCCGAACGATAACAAGGTAATCAGTGTAGTGAGGCTGATGAGAGAAATCATGATAGAGTGCAAATGAAGATGGTTGAGACAATACAATTTGGTCGATATCTGCGGGGTGCGCCAATAGTTAGTCTGGGAACCAGGCCGCACCAAAATTACCAGTAGGTAGCCAAGGGGTATCACATGGAAAGCTACATCGAACACCAAGGTGTGTAACTTTTTGACGTCCCTAAGTCCATGGGGCTATGGTACATAGTTTGTACGTATAATGTATACGTGGCATTGGTAACACTATGATACACGGCTATAAAATGATGACATGAATGCGGTAGAAAGAGTGGACGGGGTCATAATCCCCTCTTAAACTTCAGACACGAATACTCACACCTGGGTTACTGCAAAGCATTTGGTGAGTCATGTATCTGTTGTGTTCTTTTACCGATTCAGTTGTTATCTTGTATTTTTCGCTATTTCCTTCGGTACTTGTCATACATTTGCTATTTGATTTGTCATAAACCAGTGCACCATTGGCCTTCAGAACAAACGCTCAGTGGTTAACTTGAAAAGACTGCTGTATATGGTTGGCGGCATCCGGTTTCGGATTTCCCTGCCACTGTGGCCAAGCACATGACTCCTGCGCCTACAGAGGGCCCATGGATGGCTTGCGCAACACCACACACAGCTCCAACCACACACCCCATATCCAGTGTAAACCCGAAGGAATAAGACCGGGAGGCATGCGGATATAAATGTATATATATTATAGTAATAATAATACGAGTCATCAAAAGCCATATATCGTACTGACATAATAGTTACTAGTTCGAAAGAGAAGAAACGAACTGCAAATGTAGCCACTTTTCGCATATTCAGGTGCTTGCTAATTTAGATGTTGAACAGTTATACCAAAGCAGTAATTCACATAAGCCTTCCACTGAGCCACGTTGTATGCCATGTTCTCGAGAGGTTCCAGGTACCCATGTTCGTTATTCTTGTATTTCCGGCATGGAACATTGCCGGGATCGATGACAACTAAAACGTAAGTCGGCGCTTTAACATTTTGCCACTGCGCGGTAAGTTGACCACCGCGAGCAAAAGATGGCGTGACGAGGTAATCTCTCACATGGTATCCGTAGGCAGTGAATAAATCATTTCAGTTGGTATGATGATACTAGTCTCTCTGGTGTTATCTAAGCTGACGCGTCCAACACGGTCGTTGCAAACGTGGTGTTCCCACCAAACACAATAGAACAATGGATTTCTAGGAGTTAAAAAGCCGAAGCTTAACAGGTCCTGCAGGTTTATCATGGTGAAAATTCAAAATATAGCTGAACTTGTCAGTAAATACAGGCTCACACCGGTGGACGCACTGCGGCATTCGTAGTATAAAAGGTAAATCCACTGTAAGTCGTGTTCGTTAAAACAAATGTGTATCCGTTTACGGTGTGCACGGTCCTTCTGGCCGTGTTAGTCTAATAGAGTGGTTACATGCACTCAGTATGGAGCGGACTACGGTCCAGCCACCGTCTTGTGTGCACTTGATTCCCCAAATACAGCGTACTTGTTTTGCCTGTGAAGGAGTGTGGGCCGGCTCCGTCGATGAAATGTGGCTCCCATCCACATGCCCCGGTCTTATTCCTTTGGTTTTACACTGGATATGGGGTGGTGCAGCGCAAGCCACCCATGGTCCCTCTGTAATCGCAGGAGTCATGTGCTTAGCCACAGTGACAGGTAAATCCGAAACCGGATGCCACCAACCATGTATCCGTTTACACACGCATATATACCAGCTTACGCGGATTTCGTGGGGGCTGGAGAGTACAATGCTTGTCTGCGTCTTGCTGTCACTAAATGAAAACAAATCAAGTCAGGTAATGCATGTGTTGTAACGCATCCTCGAGTAGTCATTGAAAAACGGGTTGGTGGGCGAAGCAATGACGAAAGTCGAAAGGGCGTTCCAGGGGTGACACATTCGAAGAAAAAATAGTACCGGCGACATTCCAGCCGACTGGAGTGCAGGGCCAGTTGCAGCTGGTGACCCCTCAATTTTGTGCT